GACAGCAACTTGTCTGTTCCCCTTCCCCCAATTCCCCAGCATTGTTTCCATCCCAATTCCCCAATAAAAATCTTAAAAAAAAAGATACATACAGTTAGAAAATGCTTATGAATTCTATAATGAATGCATTAAAAACCAAAGTCCTCCCGTCCCCCACAAAAAAAGGCAGGGGGAGAAGGGAAGAAGATAACAGGCCCATCTTCAATATTTCTTTGTTTCCTCCTTAATTGACATGTTTAAACACTTTCAGGAATTAATATCAGTTATTATCTTCCTACTCTTTTCTCTGTGTTATGTGACAAAAGAATACATTACCCTTGCTGTCAATTTGCTTTGACTCAAAATACATTGCCTTTTTCTACTTCTATGAATGTATTATTTATGAGAATTCAGACTTACAGTGTAAAATATCTACAAAGCACCTTTTCGAGGACAGCAGGACTTCCTGGCTATGAAAGTTCAGGGTAGTTCATGTAACAATTGAAAGAGCTGATATTAATGTGTTTGCTATTAAATAAAGCATACTGGAAATTTACAAATGTTCATGTCTATTTATCCAGGAAGGCTATTTATAGGAATTTATCTTTACAAAATAATCATAAATACTGTAAAGACTATAAGCAGCAATATATTCTTTATAGCATTATGAATAAGCAAAAAGAAGCAACTTAAATATCTACTGCTAGGGGAATGATTATGTAAGTTATGTGGCATAAAATTGAATATTTTACTGCTACTTAGAATGAGGGTTATGAAGGTGATGTGAAACTATGTGTGCTGTAAAGTGGAAGAAAAACAAAGGAGGGAACACAAAAGTGAATGAGGGCCTTTTATCCACTCAAAAGCTGTTACTGCCTTGTATGTGCTAGACATTACTCGTGTCAGCAACCAAACTCTCTATTCTCTTGCAACTTACATTCTAATAGAATATTACAGATAATAATTTCATTATTATATACTCTAACATATATTCCTCCCCACCCCACTCTGAATTCTTAATAGCTGGATACCTCCCATGGCCTCTCAGAGTATCTAGAGAACTAGATTTGAACTGTGACCTGAAGGAACTCTCAAAAATTACCAGTATATTTATTTCAAAGTATGTTGAAAATTATGAGCAGTGAAACAGTTATGTAAAAAACCATTCAAATCCCTTAATTCAAAATTCTTACTGTGAACATATAATCCATCCATTATAGAAGCTAAGAACTTAAAAACAGGCTCAACCTATATTTCTTATCTATGACCAGCACTGGAAATTAAATAAGGTATATGAAACTTCAAAAATTATTTCATCCATCTCTGTTCCCTTTTATCCATCCAATTGTGTGACTGGCATTGGGACAGGGTGGACATTAAAAAAAATCAAGAAGACAGATCCTGTAGTAAAATAAATGAGCTCAGACTGCTAAGGGAGACAGGCATATAAACTCATCAATATATGCAATAAATCAAATCCTACAGAATTAAACAGGGTTTTAAACTGCATTTTTAATTACTTCTGAGCTGTAGCACTTTTTCTTTATTAGTCATATGCATTTCTTTTATGACTTGCCTTTTTATTACTGTTGTTGATTTATCTATTAGACTTTCTTTTAACTAGTGATTTTATAAAACTCTTTATAAGATAAAGGCCTTATTGTTTCTGATCCATATGGCAAATACTATCACAC